TGGATAATTTCTCCCAGGGATTTTTTGGCAATTCCTATTTAAGTTCAATAAAGAAGATTATTATTATAAAAATAAAGTCTATTTGATGACTAAAATTTTACAGTCAACAAATATGAAATTAGGCTTCTGACAATCACAGCGTTATCAGACAGTCTGCCTAGTGACTCATTTCACAGAATTTTCTTCCTGGTATTTTGATAGTTTATGAGGCAGTAATTCTGCTATTTAGGTTTATTTAAAATATATTTACATCTCCATAAGGATAGAGTTTTCTAGTTATTTACTACAAAATAGCCTGCTATATATAACTTCCTATATCTGTCATCTTTGGATGACACCAGTAGTTTATACTAAGAAGAAGGAGAAAGAAAAGGTATGTTCAGAAGTGAAAAAGTGAAGTTTCATTAAAAATCCAAAATGGCAGGACTTAGAAGAAATTAATAGTCTAAAACAGGCACCATGCCATCTTTAAACCTCCGAATAAAGTCCATTTACAATTACTAGGTACTGAACGGGTCCAGAACTGATAAGCTGGCCCGTGGGAACTTCTCCCCGTTTCCGCCGGCCACACCTGTGTCCAAACCCATCTTCTCGCCCGCCGCCGTCCACCTGCCATCCCGGCTCCGCGGGGACCGCCCGCCCCCGCCTTGCGCGTGCCCTGCGCACTCCTGTCCACCCCTGTCCACCCCTGTCCACTCCTGCGTGGTTCGCCCTCTCGCCACTCTAAGGTCTCAAATGCCGCCTGCGCGGGGGCGTCTTCCCGACGCCGTGTTTAGAGTGGAACTTCCTTCCTTCCCACCAGCCTTTCCTGCTTAGTTTCTCTTCCTAGCGCTTACACCAATACTCCTGTAGCTTATGTGTTTGTTTTCTGCTTCCCACCATTAAAATGGAAGCCGCGGGGGGGCAGTTCCGGCGGCCCGGCCGGCCCGCAGCCTCCGCTGCGTCACAGTCACACTTCTGCCCACGGCAATCAAGCTGCAGCAGAGAAAGCTGTCTGGACAAACGGAAAGATCTCAGTCCCGCCTTACTCCAGTGACCTGCCAGGACCCGCCCCTGTCACGAAGCAGGCAGCGGGGCTCTCAGCACTCACATAGGCCGCTTTCTTAGTTGAGTGGGCCTGTGCCTCTTGTAACGGCTTCATCGCTCTGTCCTCACTCTTTAACACAGAGATGCTCTCCTTACCACGTCTACACTTGCCCACCCCGGAGTCCTCAAACGCAGCAGGCCGGCCTCATTCTTCCCCGCTCAGAACCTTCCAGCAGGCCCCCTACTGCCCCTGGCCCTCCCGCAGCCCGCTCACCTTGCTCCTCACGAACCTCCACTCGTCCAGTGGAGCAGACACACTACTTCCTGAAGCGTCCCCTGTGCCTTTCTGCACTGCATGTCCCGGTCAGGAGAACCCGACCGTCTTTTCTTGAAGGAATACCTCCATTCCCACCGTCTCTGAATTCCTATCGCACTTACTCCTTTCACCAATCACTTCCCTCTCAGCACGTTGCTCTGTAGTGTGAATTTTTTAGGTTTATGTCTTGTTTCACTAACTAGATAAGGTCTTTGAGGAAGGGATCATGACAGACTCGCTGAATTACCTGCATCGACCACAGTGCTACACACACAGCACCATCCTAAGTGCTGCCACCAATATTTACAAACATAGCCAACAATTTAACACTGCCCTCTGTATTAAAATAAGTTGTTAATAAAAAAATCTTCCAAATTACTGACTTCAATGGTTATGAAAATTCCCAGGAACTTGTTAAAATTAGGTTTATTTAAAATAAGCCTAGGAACCAAAGGGGTAAGTTCTTTTATGTTAATGAGTAATTTACATTCACACAAGAATACATATACCATTGCTTATCATCAAAAATATCCCTCAAATTATGTTAATTATAACATTTTATGGCAAATAATTTAAACTATATATGCTTTAAACAAAAGTTACCATAATATGTATTTCCACCTCTCTCTTTGAAAGCAGTTCCTGAAGAAGTTCTATTGCATCTGGTTGCCAGACATTCCCAACCTATTTGGGATTAACAAACTCAGATTCTTTCATACTTTCACAAAATAAGACAAATCAGGAGCAAATTAAGATACACAAAAGTAGCCATAAACAAGTAATACTAGACAGTAGTGTAAAAATACACAGTTTTCAGAGAGTATCATGGGTATATGGTAAAAATGATCTTAAACCAAAAAAATTTCTTTTTTGAAACAGAGTCTCATTCTGTCACCCTGGGTAGACTGCAGTGGCATCATCACAGTTCACTGCAACCTCAAACTCTTAGTTCTCAAGTGGTCCTACTGCCGCAGCCTCTCTAGTAGCTGGGACTACAGGAGACACCCAACCACCAACCACCACGCCTGGCTAATTTTTTTCTACTTTTAGTAGAGACGGGGTCTCGCTCTTATTCAGGGTTGTCTCAAACTCCTAACTTCAAGCAATCCTCCCACCTTGGCCTCCCAGAGTGCTAGGATTACAGGCGTGAGCCACCGCACCCAGCCTTAAACGAATAATTTGACTGAGCTTCTTCCTATAACTTCACTTATAACATTTTATGCTTTAAAAATATAAACCTACATTAAAAACAGAACATCACATTTAATACTTTTAAAAAAGACCAATATGCCAATGGCCTATAATACATATTCATTAAGAAGCAGTGACTGTTATATTTTTATGTGTTAAGAGGGTCACATGGCAAGGAAGTGAGGCTTCCTGCCAAGAGCAATGTGAGTGAGCCTTCTGAAGTGGATCCTCCGTCGCCAGTCAATCCTTCAGATGACTCCACTCCTGGTGGACATTTTGCTTAAAGTATCATGAGGGACCCCTTGTCAAAACCACCCAGCTAAGCCACTCCCACTCCCTGAGCAGAAATCCCTCACAGAAATTGTATGAAACAATGAAAGTGTATTTTAGACCACTAATTCTTAGCTTAATTTGTTACGCAGCAGGAGATACTTTTTTTTTTTTTTTTTT